ATATATATATATATATATATATATATATATATATATAGCAAATATTAATTATGTTTAGGCCATATATTAAGTCAGGATTGACTTAAATATCTTTTAAGATTCTTCTAAGGGGTAAAATTATCTGTCCTGCTCCATTCAGACTCCACCTAGTCCCTCACCCCTAACAAAGGACTCAAATAACTTCCCCAGAAGAAACAGAGAATATCCCAGAGAGTGGGTTTCCCTTGCCCCAGGAAACCACCTCCTTGTCCTGTCTCCAGCCCTCACTCTTGCCTTTCTCCCTGTCCTTGCTCTTGCCCTGGGCTGGGGTGTGAGAGCCCTAACTAGTAGACAGAGCTCCCCATTCCTGTCACCTCATAATAAGCCAAGAAGCCAGCTTGCTTGGTGTACTTCCCTGGAGGTGCCGGTCCCACAGCTTCTGCCCACAACTCATTCTCAGAGGCTTTGAGGAGGCGAAAAGTACGTCCATAGGTGGGGAGCCCCATAAGGAGCTTCTCAGGTGCTGCCCCAAGCTTTCGCCAGTAGTTCATGGCATATGCCTGCAGGCAGGAAGAACACAAACCCCTCCTTCTTACCAGGAGCCAATGGCCTGACTCAGGGACAGATTTCTGGGCCACATGAGAGCTTTCTCTTTCTTACCGAAGATTTGGGGTCCTTGGGCACAGAGAACAGCGGGCTATTGTGTCCTGTGAACTTTTCCCAGCTTCCATGTAAGTCATAAGACAAGACGCTGATGAAATCCAGTAGTCTGTAAGGGGCAGGAAGAGGAGATATGAAGATCCTGCTAGCTAGATTTTCAAGTCCGATCATCACAGCGATGACTAGCTAACTAGCTGTAAATTGGGCACCCAACTTCCCTGCCATTTCTGCCTGTGGGGACGGCCCAAGCTGTGCCCTCCACCTGAGAAGCTGCCCCTGGAACACACAGCTGGTTAGGGACAGCGGTGCATCAGGACCTATGCCATGCTGAGAGTAACCAAGGGAGTGAGCAGGGGTCAGAACAGAAAACAAAGGCATTCAGGCTGATACAAGTGCAACAGAGGTCTGCATAAATCGTCATGTGTAAGCAGTTCTGACCCACAGCATGAAAAAGCTTCTGTCCTTCTACCATTATAGGAACCATTGAAACCTATCTCTTCCAGAAAGCTTTCCAAATGACAAAGTATAATTGAGCCCTACCAGGTCACAGGTGTCCAGGTTAACATGGATTATCTAATTTAATTTTAATCTGTCCAATGCCCTAAGTACTACAATTGTCTCCATTTTAAAATGAAGAAATTGAAACTCAGACCGTTATCTAATTTGTCTAAGGTGACCCAGCTAGGTGAAGGTGGTCTCACTCAACCCTGCCTGGCTGTAAGACCAACACTAGCCAATTGTGCCCCACTATGTCTCTCACCTTTCCTGCCACCATGGAACCACTCTCCTTAAGTGTAATCACATGCAAAAATTGCGTGTGATTTCTTGTGTTCTGCCTCTACCTCAGTTATCACATCTGTGAATACCCGATTCTTGAGCTTTGAGAAAATTAGTCCAGAGCTGTCCAGAAAGTTAGGAGATCTCTTTGCCTGATTTTGTAACTTTTGCATGAAGACCTGTGCTCTGAAAACTGGGCCTGACTGGGCATTCGTATTTTGTTTCAGTTGGTAATTAATCCATCTCTATGATACCAGCCATCTGGCACACAGTGTATGTCTAAGGGGACTCTGGGACAGCAGAGGCCAGACTCCTGGATTCTTCTCCTAGAGACCCAGCGATAGGCGATACAGATCTCTACCCAAGAGGATGCTGTGGTGTGGACTGGTACTACATCACCTCCCTCTGATCTCCTAAGGAAAGCCCAGAATATAATGGAATAACCCTTGTCCCCACCTATGCTCCTGATCAGCCCAGCTCCCAAATGTGCACCCAAAGGTTCCTGCAGGGCAGGAACTTGAAAAGCTCAAGGACAGTGCTTGGGCACCTCTGGGGTTCTGAGCGTGAGATGTCTCCTTCCCTCCAATGTCCTGCCCACCAACGCAGCACCCACTCACCTCCCCAGGAGGTGCACATCATACGCTTTTTGGATGACACGGGGATCCCCAGAGACAGCAGCAGAGAGCAGCAGCCTTGGACGCATGGTGAGCTGCGCCTCCTTCCTGAAAGCAAGCAGGAGCTCCTGGGAAGAAAGAGAGGCAGACGCGAGAACCCGACAAAGCAGAGTCTGGGAAAACAAGACTCATCCAAGAAACCTTTATTTACGGAGCCCCTTGAGCCAGGAGGGTCAGACACCGGCCCTGCCCACCGGCTCGTGAGAAAGGCGGACGTGAGCCAATGTGGTAAGTCATTGAACAGAAGGCTGGCAGCAGGCCCAGGAGCAGAGTTCAGACAGCCCACCTGAGGGAGTCCAGGGCCTGCACAGAGAAGGCATCACTCAGGCTGGAGGGCTGGGCCAAGGCCCGGATGTGACAGAGAGAAAGAGCCGCCATAGGGCCCTTGCTAGGCAGCTCTTTGTCCAACACCTGCAGGTGATGGCAGTAAACAACCTTCTGTTACCGCTGTCTTGCCCTTGTCCCCGGCCTTAGGCTTCCCCTGTGCCCTGAGCCCAGATATGATCAAAGTAGAATCATTTCTGGATTCGGGAGCTGCCAGGCTGGCCTTACTTCAAGTAAGAAGACAAAGGTCCAGCGGTCATGCCTGGGGCTGCCTCTGAGTCCAGGGTACAAGAAGAAGAGGTCCAGACCATCAAAGCCATGTGTCCTCAGGAGGGCTATCACTGAAGTGACAAACTTCTGCCGGTTGGCGAATGTGGACAGCATCGTGGTGAACCTGCAGGGAGAACAGAAGTGAGGCCAGGAGTGTTTTCTGCACAACCTCAGCCTCCTTTACAGGACCCCTTGGTTCGCACCCCATGGAGGGCACAGTAGATGTGACTGAGGAAAGGAAGGCAGGTCGTTGAATCTCTCAGAGCTTCTTAAAGCCCCTCCCAGCACGGGGCTCCAATACCCAGGAATGGGGACTTCAGGCTCCAGGGAGGATTTGCAAACCACAACTTCCCCTGCCAGATGGAAACAAGCACACAGCCTGGGGTGGAGAGAGCAGGCTCAGGCCAGCTTGGCCTCTGAAAGCATGGTCCGCCCCTAGCCACGCACTGTCCCTCTGCTGTTTCCTCGTGGGTAACAGCTCAGTCCTGACACCCTGTCCTGGCACTGACTTTCTCTGCCTGAACAGATTAGCGGAGGGAACATGAACCAAGGGCCAGCATTTCCAGAAAGACCTCTGAGCTAACGTGGCACAGGAGGGCCATGCTCAGACTAGGAGTTCTGTACTCTTTGCTCTTTTGTTCTTTGGCTGTTTGATTGTTTTCTTTCTTTCTTTTTTTTTTTTCTAGTGCTTTCTCTTTCACAGTGAAGACACTATTGGAAAACTTGTAAGTTATCGGAGTTGAACGTTAAGCAATTTGGGACTAGTCCTGAGTGCAATGATTAGAAAATTAACCAGATTCAGACTTAGGCAGGCCTAGTTCCATTATCTGGTTTCCACCCATAGCTGGGCCATCTCTCATGGTCACCTGTGTGAAATATGGTACGTTTCTTAAGCTCGCGTTCCTGCTTTTCTCTGCAAATTTAGAATGTAAACAGCCACTTTGTAAGCCTCTCCCAAGTAACCATGAGATAATGCATGCAAAGCCTCTGGCCAGCGTTTGTACACAGCGAATGTTCAAGAAGTCGTGGCCCAGGGAGAGGCGAGGCCTGGGGTCAGGCAGAGCCAGTTCTCACCCAGCTCCCTGCATCCTCCCTGCATTGCTCCTGGGTTCTGTGCCAGGTGCTTCCTCACATTCCCCCACTCTCAGGCTTCCAGGTGCCCCTCTCCTACAGCTCCTTCCTCTAAGGCAGGAAGGGAGGCAACTCTCTACCCTTGGCCTCAGCCATGAAATAGGGGGAAAGTTTCTTCAGAGAACATGAAGGCAGTTTGTCACCTCCACACTGCCTAGTGGAGGGTAACGAAGAGTAGCCACCATGCACTGGACACAGACCATGTGCCCAGGTGCTCAGCTGAGCATCTGGTTTCTATCACTTTCTTTCCTCCCATCCTTTCAGGTTGATACCATTGGCTCCATTTATAAAGCGAGGAAACCCAGGCCCTGGGAGGCTTGGGGTTTATCCATGTCCTAAACAAGACTCCTCCCCTCTCTGAGGCAAAAGCCCTGCCTCTTCTGAAGCATTGAGGGGACAACTGTGAGCACCCCATTTTCCCGTCATTTCCCCCTAGCCCCTTTCTCACCATCTCCTGAGCCTGCCTGGTCTCCCCTCATTCACCATGGAGGAGAGGTCGGGGGACCCTGGACTCCAGGGCCAGGTCAGGACTCGGGGGAGTACTAGTGTGTCTCCCCACAGCCCAGCTGGCTCCCCACTCTGTCCTCACCTCCGGCCTGCCTGCTTCTCCCCCATACACCGCCCCCACCCCAGAGAGAAGACCTGACAGCACAGTCTCACCTTGATGTGCCGAAGTTCCACCCCCCGATGGACAGCAGTGTCTTCAGCTC